AGACAATCCTGTCAGCCCAATAGTGCTGTGAGGAGACTCACATGTCCTCCCAAAAGGATACTTTCACTCTAAATTTGTAAAAGTTCCTTATTTATCAGTAAATAATTTGAACACCTAATAATTTATCTAGATTGTTCTTAAACATTTCTATTTCTAAACAATGCCCCTTTCTGAAATAACAAGATTGGGACCTTCATTACGACTAAATCACACTTGCTCTCTGCTGTGAAGGCAGGTCTATAGTGTGAAAACTCCAAGTAAAGGAGTTTTTATTTACATGTTAAATCAAAGACAACTATTCCTTCTTTCAGGAAGCATGATCAAGTTAATTTCCTCAGGATGCATGTTCCATCACCTTCTGATAAGGATATAAGTCATGTCTTGATAAGAGGAGATGAAGGGTAGTTTGGTCAGGAGAACCCTGTTGACTTCCTGTGTTTCCTAAGGAGTAAGACTCTGAACATGACTCTTCAAATCCCTTTCCATAGTTTGAGAATATTAATAGGCACATCAATTTGACTAATATATCACAACAAATAACAGTGTAGAATTTTAAAATCCTGTTGTTAAGCATTGTTGGGGAACGGTTCCAAATACACTAACTACATCTGATATAATTATATCTAAAAAAAAGATGGATTCCTTTTCTGTGAAAGAAGGCAATAGTCATATTAATTTAATTTTAGTTTTTCCTCATATACAGTAATGGAGGCATTAATTTTTCTACCAGCTAAATGAGCCTTTTCATTCTTGGGGCGGGCGGGGGGGGGGGGGCATAAATTATAAAGGAATAAGTTATTGTTCTTATGAAACTCACACAATCATGGATTAGTATGAAACATTGGTACTTCCAGATATTTTTCAATACTTAGGTAATTAATTTTTATATGGTTCATTGTAAAAATATATATATTTACCCCCTGGCTTTTAATAAATGTCAAAATACCTTCTCATAATGTCAGCAAGGCTTTTTTTTTTTTTTTTTTTTTAAGAATGGGAATTCTAAACAATTCCCAAACACAAATGAGGTCCAAACAATATAGAGATTTCCAAATGCCAAACATGATTCTATATCATTAGTGTCTTCATAAAATTTATATTTAGAACTGTGCTCTCCTTCTGCTAATCTCTAATTTCATTTAAACATGAGGAAAGCTACTTTTCATGAAAAACTCCCCTTTTTTCTACAAATATTATAATGTCTGAGGTAGTATAACCATTCAGATGAATACAACTCTATGACAAAGAATTTGACCAAAAAGACTCCTAAACATAAAGATTAGAGTATCATAGTGTGAATTAATAACCTCTATTTTCTAGTCCATTTGGTTGACATTTTATAAAATTTGTATTTAAGACAAAAGCTGATTGTCCTTCCTTTAGGATTTCATCCTTCTGGCTGATTTATTATCCTCCCTGTGGAACTCTAGCCTGGCCCATTGTTTCATGATGAGATGTCAGCAGACACTCAAATGGTCCCTGCCAACCACAGGAGTTAGCAAACCAAAAAGAATTTCACATCAATCACATTTTTCTTTGGGGCTTTCCAATCTATAGTCCCTACAAACATTCTTATAAGTTTCTGAACTATAGTCACTTCTTGGAAATCAGAATTTTAAAAATTAATCACTAATATACACTGGAATTTTGACTCTTAATTATCCCCTCCTAGTAGAGTGTATCTGTTATACATTTTTTTAAAATTTTGGTGTAAATTTCCAACACAGACAAAATATACTCAGATTGAATCAAGAGAATCAATATGTGCTGTTCATTAGAACTTTCCAGCATCCCAAATTGTCAACCTCTCTTTAAATGGTGCTAAAATGATATTGACGTTTAAAGCTTCACTTCAGCAGTTTGCACAGCTATGTATATTAAATGTGAATGGTATTCAAATGTAAAAACATCATAAACTTATTTTTGTAAATCTATTACAAAATGAGTTGTAGTAGGAGAAAAGCATGTAGCCCTACTCTGCAGTCTAGAGAGTAGTTATAATGTCAGTGAAGAAAAGAACAGATAGGAGGAAAAAGAGAAAATATAAAAAAAGCATTAAAGTTTCATGAAGTAAGAGGGAAAAGTATCAAAATATTTTTGCACAATACAGATCTTACCAAGCATGAAAACACAGATTTCAATTCGGCCACGAGGGCATTAAGGGACCCTTTTAGAAAGGCATTTTTTCACAGAGACAAAAGGCAAAAGTAGCCAGAATGAAAAAAAAAAGGCTCTAGTAAACAAATTTATAAACTTGTCCACTAAGGGAAAGGAACAAGAGAAAGAGAAGATAAAGGAGAGTGCTGTCATGAGGATGTTTCAAACTTGAGGCAAAATTGAAACCAAAATGAAGGCTAGAGGCCGTGGAGATGAAAAGACTAGAGACATGATTAAAGTGTGAGTTTCAGAGCAACATCTCAGGTAATTAGAAAGAGATGTCCAAGGCCCACATGGAGAGATTAACATTATGAAAATAGGGAGAACTATTCCTCTGACCCTGGTGAATAAAACCTTGAAGGTAAGAATATAATTCTGTTGGTTACTATAAGAGCCTAATGGACTTCCATGCCTTTGTCCAATGCTGAAAGTGATTTTGCTTTCATGGGATTCCTCCAATGAAAATAAAACAAAACAAACAAACAAAAAAAACCACACTTTAGTTAATGAGGATTTTTAAATTAAACATTATTTATCTCCAAAATACTTGGAAAGTATTTGACTTAGGTTATGTATAAGGGAATAGAAGGTCCATCTTGTCCCCATTCTAGTAGCTTTACTACACTAAGGAAAATTATGTACAGGGTGTACCCCAAAATGTATACATACTATAAAGTCAGTGCTTATTAAAATACAGTTCATTTTCAAAATGTAATAGAATCTACAGCTATCAGCTGTTAGTGTGTATACATTTTTTGGGGATACCCTATATATCAATAAACCATAGTACTGTATTTATATTCTAGTATACAAATTATTTAGGGTATGAAAGATGTTTTTATTTTTTTAAAATAATTCTTTATTGTTGAAAGTACTACATATTCCCCTTTCCCCCCATTAACCCCCTTCAGCCTGCCCCACCTCCCTGGTCCCAGGCCTTCAACACCTTATTGTCTGTGTCCATAGGTTATGCATGTATATAGGCTTCTCCCTAGGAAGAGAGGGTACAAAAACATGGAAATGCCAATTACAGGTTAAGCTTGAGATGTTTTTAAAGCTTAATGTGTAGTTGGCATTTCTATACGTTTTGTACCCTTTCTCCCTAGGGAGACGCCAAGAGCTGGGTGATTTCTCCCAATTGCTCTGCACACACTGGGGACAGAATTGTGGTGAGTGTCATGAATTCTCTGCCCATGTCTGTAGGTGCCTCTTAGCTGGATTTCTCATGAAGAAAACTGGCCAGAGTCATAGAAGCATGGAACAGACTGATGAATTTCAGAGGGAAGGTGGGGGTGGGTGGGGAGAGATTAACCAAAGAACTTATATGCATAGCCCACAGTGAAGGCCTGGGAGGGGCACAGGTGTGGGATGGAGAGGGAAAATAAAGGGGACATCTGTTACACTTTCAACAATGAAGATAAATTTAAAAAGCAAGACCTGGTCAGGGATTGTCTTTGAGTCAGTGTCTCTTTGTTGGGAAGGAGAGTCTGGGTCTTTCTATTTCAACGTCTTGCTAACATCTCCCCCTGGTTC